GCATCAGAAAATGTGAAAAATTTCTAGTGGAAATACACTGCATGTTTGGAGAATATCTTAGGGATTTCAGGCTTCGGGGCTGAGAGGTTTGAAAAGTAAGTAGGTTTAGGAAGATAACTTGGGGCCACATCATACAAAGACTTTGATGTCAAGCTATCTTGGAGGTTGGTGACATCTAAAACTCTTATCATTACACTCTACTGCCTTCACACATACATGGGATAAATGCAGAATCCTAAGTATCACTTTGTAAATAATAGCATAAATTCAGGCACAATGGAGAATATAACAAAATGACAGGACCAGCACAAAAACCCCAGAGCGAGGTGGTGGCAGCACCCCTGAACATCAAATGGGAACCACACTCGAAGAGTTGTTCTGGAGAAGACAATCCTTTATCTCATAAAGCTGGCACCTGCTACCCAGGGCTTGTATTAACTCCCCCTGAGTGTTCTACACCTGAAATATAGCATTTACGGCTACATCTTGGGGTCTTTGTTGTGTCTTTCACATTACAGTAATGGTGAATAAAAATTCTCATGAATACTTTAAGCCATTTGGGCAAGGAAATGGGGGAGTGTGGAGTAAGGCAATGTTTAAATACAAAGCAAAGAACTGACTTTTCTAAAGCATACATTAAGCAGTGTGTGGCTAAAAATAGCCACCTGTTCCAGGTCAGATCCCAAATTGAAGAGCTCTTCACACACCAGATTCAGAAAGCATCTGTCACTGGTAGCCATGGCAACAGCCGTCCCTGAACAAATGTGGAGAAATGTTTTTGGAATAGGGCTGGGAAAGGAAGTGGACATGACAGTCTCTGCAGAAAGGGTGAGCTCTCTTGGTTGAAGCCTCATCTTTCTTCCTGGTTGAAGCCCCTTCCTGGTTGAAGCCTCATCTTTCTTTCTCAGTTCCCAGCCCTTCTAATTTTCTATAGTCATTGGTTTTTGTTTTCTTTGAAGAAACAGTTTGTAGAGTTGGTTAGTGCCTATTTAATGGGCTGCACAGGGAGAGGAGACAGGAGGTAGGATCGGACATCCCACTGGCACTACAGAGATGGGATGGGAGGCCAGGCTGCTTGAGGGAGTGGAGGGAGGCTGGGAACTTCTGAAGAGGGGAGAGTGGTTCAGATCGAATGTGTGCTGTATTATTTTGCTGTTCTCATGTTTTCCTTGTCAATGATTCTCTTAAAATGTATTTGTCACTTCAGGTTTGCAATATTAAATTCTGTGTATCTGGGGTTTTTTTTTTGTTGTTGTTTCAATTGTTTTTTATTCTTTGTAAACTCCTTGAGGGTAGGGAGCCCTCCTCCTAGTTTTCCCCATAGCACTGAGAAACTCCTCCAATCTGTCATAGTGTTGCTTGCATGATACAGCAGCATGGAATTCTCTTAGGGCTTGAAATGCCTACCCAAAAGCTGTATTTAGCCTCCCACCTGTCAACTCCTAGAGTCCCCAATTCCGATAAAGTGGTTGAAATGTGTTAAGTAGTTGTGTTGTCCTTGAGGACAGTTGTAATCTATGAATGAGATGACTCCAAATTAATGTGCACAATAAGCTCTCTTCAGTGTATGAATAAATGTAAATGAATAAAGATGCTTGTGATGAACTTGGTGATGAGGGCAGTTATGTGAGGATTAAAGAAAAGCCAGAATCTTCTGAGTATGTTCACCATATGGTTTAATAAGGAAGACATCTGGCCACTGGAGAAAGAAGACTGAGAGCAGACTTCTTGTCCAGAGAGGGGTCAGCTAGACTTTCCAAAGACAAAGTCAAGAATTCTTGGGTATTTGTGAGTTCTTCACTAGATGAAATCAGAACACTATCCAAGTTCCTTTAGGAAGAGCTCTTCTTCAGCACATAGTTCTAGATCTTGGCTACTTCCATGGTATTCTCCTCATTACTTTCTTGCTTGCCTGATGAAGAAAATAATCTCTTTATAAGGCACCTACACCCATACGTCCTTCACGGTGCATAAAGTCCTAGGCTTAGCAGGAGCATGGGACCTTTCACTCACTCACTCATTCATTCATTCATTCAACAAATCTGTCCTGAGGGCTACCGTGTGCCAGGCATCGTACTGGGTGCTACATTGTCTCGGTCCCATGGACCTTACATTTGGATAAGACCAGGAAATTTGTATTGTTATGGTGGTTCTTGATGATGATGGTGATAACCATCCCAGCTACAGCACAGGCACTTCTGGTTAGTGCATAAGTGTATTAACTATGTTCCTTATTTTCTGTATTCTTGATGCTCTGGCATGTGGAGCCTTGCTGATCCTACAGAGACTGTTCCTCCAGAGCTAGCTAATTCCTAGAGATAGCGCAGAACTCTTCTGCAAGCATACCTTTTATATGCCAACTAACCAATCCAGAGCCCATACCTGCCAATGCCTCCTCTATGGAGCTCTCATTCTGAGCTACTATCTCGCTGCCATAATCACCCCAGTCCTAGGAACCAGGCAACTGGGGGCAGTCCCTCCACCCTGGAACCTTATGGAAACTATTTCAACTAGTCAATTCTAAACCTGCCTAGCTTGTTTACCCTGTCTCATCCATTCCTTCATGCAAAACTGCAATAAAGCTCTTGTTCATGCTTTTCCCTCACTCCTCTGCCTTCTGACCAGTGCTGCTGCTTCGTCCTGTGGCTCTGAATGGCATGGCATGCTCCTTCCTCTTGTGAACTGTGAGTAACAATGTATCTTTTCAACAGCAGTCATATTCTGATCTGTTGGCCTAATAATAATAATAATAATAATAATCCAGATGCTTCTCAACTTATGATGTGGTTATGTCTCCATAAATGCATTGTGAGTTGAAAATATCATAAATAGAAAAATGCATTTAATGCTTCCAACCCACTGAACCTCATGCAGAACACTTACATCAGCCTACAGTTGGGCAAAATATCTAATATTGAATGTATTTTGTAATAAAGTGGTGAATGTCTCAGGTAATTTATTGATTACTGTATTGAAAGGGAAAACCAGAATGGTTGGATGGGTACTTGAAGTACAGTTTCTGCTGAAAGTGAATCACTTTTGCACCATTGTAAAGTAAAAAAGCTAAGTCAAACCACTGTAAATTGGGAACCATTTGTAATAATAATAATAACTACATTTTAAAACAATAGGAGCTCAAGCTCTAGAATCAGATCTCCTATATTCAAACTAATCACCACCATTTACTGGTTATGGAGCATAGCCTTAATGTTTCATTTCTAAAGTAGAAACCATAATATCTAACTCACTGGGCTGTTAGGAGGGTTGAATGATATAATTCATATATAACACTAAACTCAAATTAACTGCCATAGGTAAATGCTAAATAAATGTGAGATCTCTGTCTCTCTAGGAAAGAGAATGTGAGGCCCATGCCTTTAAAAATACATTTATCTATTTATTTATTTATTTAGACAGGGTCTTGCTCTGTCACCCAGGCCAGAGTGCAGTGGTGTGATCACAGCTCATTGTAGCCTTGACTTCCTGTGCTCAGATGATCCTCTCATTTCAGCCTTCTGAGTAGCTGTAACTACAAGTGCTCACCACCATGCCAAGATAATTTTTTTTTAAATTTAATTTTTTCATAGAGATGGGGTCCTGCTTTGCTGTCCAGGCTGGTCTCAAACTTATGGCATCAAGTGATCCTCATGACTTGGCCCCTCAAAGTGCTGGGATTATAGGCATGAGCCATCACACCTGGCTGGCCCATGCCTTTTTGAAGCCTATAATTAAATGAAACTTTCTGGAATTTTCTAAGAGTCCTCATATTCGTGATCTCATTTGGTACTTACAGCTCCTTGTAGGGTGGTGGCAGGTGGTAACTCTTGTTTTATAGGCAAGGAAATTGGGACTAGAAGAGTATTAGCTAGACAATGGAAAAGGCTGGATTGGGATGCAGGTCTCCTGACAGCTCATTTTATCTACCTGGCCTTTCTACTGAGAGGCCGGATGTGGAATGGATAAAGACTTGGCAATCAGACAGACCAGGCTTAACAGCTAGTCCTGCCACTTATTAACGTTGCACACACAGAAAAGTTGGAGATCTCTGAACTTTCATTTTCTCAACTACTGAAAAGGAAAATAATTTTTCATACATTACTTAATTGAGATTTTTTTTTAAAAGACTTTAATCAAAACTGATTAGAGTATGGTAAAGTAAGCATTCTCATATACAGTGAGCCCTCTTATTTTCTTATGCAGAATATCTCAAATACAGAAAAAGCTTTATGCATAGGGTTGTTCATCATAATACTATCTAAATAATACAATTTGGAAAAAAACCAGCATGTTCAATAGTAGGAAAATAGAAAAATAAATTGTAGTATAGCCACATGATCAGGTAATAAGCAGCCATTAAAAACGACATTTACGAAGTTTATAACACAAACTATGTTTACCGTTAGATCAATAAATCATGTCTTGTATTCCTCTTGACGTTGTTGTTTCATGTTAATCGAGGTTACACATGGATTAAAAAAACAAATAGTCAACAACAGTTGTGAGAAAAACAACAGTTGCGCTGTTCACCTGTCTCCAGAAGCAACAGCAGTCTTTAACTCCTTCAGCTGAATATTTGGTATTTTCCTTTTTCTATCTAAAATAATAACATTTTATTGTTAGTTCTTGATTTTTTTTTCCACCCAGAAAAAGGGACCAGAAAGAGACCAGGTGTCTGCCTCGGTCCTTTTCTCTATTTTCACAGTGGAGGGAATCAATCAGGAAAGCTGGAAGAATCTCTCCCAGAGTGCCTGTCCCTGCGAGTGGAACACACATTCTCTTTCCACCATTAAAATGTACAAGGAAGAGACAAGCATTTTTCTCCTAAGCTTTGCAGAGTATTAAAGTAATATGGGGGAGATGTTTCTCGTCTAATATTGAGTGGAAAAGGTAGCCAATGTGATTTCAATTGGGGTCACATAGATAAAGGGGCCAGGAGGAGGAAAACGACAACTGCTGTATTAGCATGTAGAATTATGGGTAAACTTTTGCTCCCGCCACAGCTTCATATTTCTGTAATGAACATTCCTTTCCTCTATCACAGATGAAATATTTAGTTCTAAAAAACTGATGAAAATCCTATTTACTTTCCACAATTGTTGTAAGGCCACACCCACAAAGAGCGTACTACATGTCAATTAGGTACCCCAGAGATGGCAGCTTCCTTTCCTCCTTCGGCCCTGACCTCCCTGTGGCCATCCATCCCTGTGGAATGGATGATGAGGTGAACATGTGAGGCTGGATCCAGGAGTGAATCATCAGGGTGCTGTTGAACTGACATTGGTATTTGATTCTTCAGCAGTGTTGCATTAGAGATCCTGCAAAGACATTAGGATCCGTGGTGAGGGTGCCCAGACCAGAGCTGGGCAGGGCCAATAGGAAATATCAGCCTCCCACACCCAGAGCCACTCTTACCTACTGATGACCCAGCTGGTAAGGAAAAAAACAGGTTCTGGCTGGGCGCGGTGACTCACGCCTGTAATCCCAGCACTCTAGGAGGCCAAAGTCGGTGGATCACTTGAGGTCAAGAGCTTAAGACCAGCCTGGCCAACATGGTGAAACCCCATCTTTACTAAAAATACAAAAATTAGCAGGGCATGGTAGTATGTGTCTGTAGTCCCAGCTCCTTGGGAGGCTGAGGCAGGAGAACTGCTTCAACCCGGGAAATGGAAGCTACAGTGAGCCGAGATCACACCACTGCAC